GAGGAAACTTGCATGGTTAAAAAGAAGGGCGCCGCTTACGTTGGGCACGACTTCCGCCTCATTTTTACAATGCGAGAACTCTATCTTGTATTTCTAGTATCTTTGGATTAACCTAAAGTCTCTTTATGGGCTTTTAGGGAAAAACCTATAGAATCCTGAAATTTTAAAGCAAGAATATTAACTACCAAATTATTTTTAATACTATAAACAAAATAGTATAAACATTAAATTAAATTTAAAGTAGCTAACCTAAAAGTTAAAGAACAATATTATACGCATACAATAAAAAAAATATCTACTTTTAGATATAGATCTATTTCAAATTAAAGATATATTATATAGGATAAAATAGATAATTAATTATTTATATTTTATTACTATATTTGAGAATATACATTTACATATAACATAATTTGCTTTTATAGCAGCATATAAAGAAATTATTTCAGAAAAAATGCAACTGAGAGAGCAGTTACAGAAAGCCTCCAGTTGGTAAGAATGGGTTTTAAGTGACTTCTTCATTTATGCTCAACTATTGCTAAAGGTTTAACTATATTTTTTATTGACAATTTTACTGGCATGAACCTTTATGTGATAATAAAGCTTGATGTTATTAAACTTTATATCACACAAACATTATATTTGCCTCGGTGTCTACTATGTTCGAAGACAATTATTAAGATTCAATTGATAATTTGGTTCAGTCGACTTTCTGAAAAATATAGCACGAATTATTTTGATATGCATGTGAATTTTCAACAGAATACTAACCTGACGACACCCAAACTGGTGCAGGCACGGTTAACACATACCATAGTTAAATATTAATTTTGTAGGAGGCATAGAAAGCTTTGATATTTGAAGCAATATTGAGATTGAATTTAAAAGAAATAAGATAGTAACTACATTATAAATTTTGGTCAAGTCGGAATCCAATCAGAGCAGTTTTCAACTAGGACTGCCTCTAATTTGTCGGACAAGCAAGGCCTTCTAACTGTACTTATAAGCTTTTTTCCCGCCGTTGTGTGTCAATAACTCGCCACGTACAAAACTCATCTTCTCTCTCTAGGTCTCTCTAGGTTTCACTAGAATTATCTTTATTCCCGTTTTAGTCTGCGAGTGCCATTTCCGGATATGAGGTGCCATAATCATAAATTTTCTTTTCCTCAACCCCAACCATGGTAGGGTCGGCTGAGGGGGTGGACCCTGGCCAATATTTCTGTGAAAGTCTCTCCCTGTACCCCCCTCTGTTTTGAATTCCTGAATCAGCCAAAGTTCCTATCTGGTCCGGAAGAGTGTGGATTCGCTTAAAAACAACAACAAAGTGATTTATTGCTTTCCCTACCCTGTTCCCAATCAGATCAGTACCGAGCTTATTTTATGAATTCTCGATTTTTTAAAATATATTTTTGACGTCTACCCATCTCATCCACGACGTAAAGCGCTTGTCATTATTTGTTCATATTCGCAATTTCCATTAATTTCATTTATTTATAATATAACATTTACATTTGTGGTAAAAATTTTGTAATTTCAATACCTAATAATATTATAGTTTTTTTCATTGTGCGCTAGGCCTACATTTATTTCTTTTATGTTTAAATTTATTAATTTTTTATTTACCTTGTTCTATAATTTTACATAGTCTATTGACATATGCAGTGAAAATCTGAAACACCACGTGGTTGGAAGTGGCACGTTCCACATCTAGGCTATGTGTATGTCCAATTTGTAGGGATCTATTTACTCCGACCTCGATTTATTTACGATTCTTAACATTTTAATCATATTAATGAACGTTAACCCGTAGTATAATTAATGACATTTCCATGGTGTTTTTAATTAGATTGATTTAATTTTGTATAGATCAGTTTCCTCAACATATCAAAGTTGATATTCATCGTTTGGCCATCAAAATTTTTGATAGACTACAGAACAGTTGAAAATAAGAACACTAAATAGTGTTTGCCCTCAAAACCAGTGCCAGATTGTTTTTAGCGCCCCAAAATTAGCTATTTTTGCTCTTTCTCGTGTGAAATAAATTGTACAATAACAGAGTCATACGTGAGTATTATTTGTGTACCTGGATTTCCTATTGATAATCACTGCTTCAGTTAAAAAAAAACCCAACAAAAACACGACCTGTTCCAGGCGTCCTGTGCATTTTCATACGAGTTATATAGCCAATTACGTGAGAGGATTACCATGCGCGATCTATAGAAGGTCAGAACGCTCCTCTTATACACATCTTCCATGGCAACAGATAGGACGCCCTCTTCCAAATGTCGGAGAGAAAAAGCACAATTCTTCTCAATCACTTCCAAAGATTTTGAGTGACACCTGACAATACCTAAACTTTGCTGTTGTCGAGGAATATGGGATATAGTGCGATTGTATGCAAATATTCACGAAAAATAGCAGTGGCGTATCTAGGGAAGGGCGCGGGGGGGGGGGCGCACACCCCCCCAAAAAAATTAATCGCGCCCCCTCAAAAAATCACGGTCAAGTAGTTAAAAATCACATAAAATCACCATATTTTGCGAATTAGCGCCCCTCAACTGATCATCGAGTCCCCCCCACTTCATCTTCGCTCCCCCATCAACCCCCATTTCAAGACCCATCAACCCCCATTTCAAGAGTTCTAGATGTACGCCACTGAAAAATAGCAACTATTACCATTACGTAATTAATTATTTACCCATGTATTTACTCTCAATATTGAGTTTTCCAACTAACTCAGATAGCTGACTTGATAAAATCTACATGGAATACTTGGTGCACGTAGGCACACAATGTACGAAATCCACTGACCTAGGCATACTTTGGCACACGCAATAGTAGCAGAAAAGGAGGTTGGGGTGCAGATTTAGGTACAGGTACATTGATAAATCTAATAAAACATTCATATCGGCTTAATCATGAGATGGGATGAAGGTATGCCTACGTTACATTACACATAATAAATAACTCGCGACTAAATAATCGAAGCCTAATGTTTAAACCTATACCGTTAATCGACCTATCCCCAATTTTGAAGAATGACTTTAATCACAATATTATTTTTGACAAAGTATGAACTTACTAAATTCATTTTTAACTTAAGCCATTTTCCCAAATAAAATGTATATACAGTGCATCCTCCAATTAGAGGCACTATTTCCGAAACCCCTCTGATTCGAAATCACTTTAAAAGATCCAAATAACAAACTTCAATCTTTTAACACAAAGCAAACCCTCCTTTTGGAGACCAAACCCCGAAATAACCATAAATTTTCAGGTCCCAAAGTTGGTCTTGAATTAGAGGGCAAACTGTATTATGTTAGACGAAGGCCATTAGTCACATGACTAATATAGTAGAACTTAAACAAACAACTGTTGGTCCACGTAAGAAATTTAATGAGATAAAATACATTTGTGCCCTCAACGTTGGCCAAATACTGAACATAATGATTATATCAGCTCTTGAACTTTGTTCTTTTTGAAAAGAAAGGAGAAAGACGCCCCTAGATAGCCTTAAATCACCACTGAAGGTAAGTGTAGTATTTTAGGTTGTAACGATGCGTTTATTTTTCATTAAAATAATTGAACTTTCTTAATTTCTATATTAAATACTTAACACTTCTAATGGATGCTTTTTAGACATACGTAAAAAAGCTTTGATATTCTCTGCATTGATCAAAACACTGGCTTCAACATTGTTTCCTCCAAAATGTGTACCCACCTGTGTACCGACATTGCGCAATCAAATTGTATTGTCGAGAGGGCACATTATTATGTTCGACAGCTAAACCAGTGAAGAGTATGAAAGCAATGCAAAACCCTTTACTTTTATGTGTTCCTTGTCTAGGTTCATCAATATTTCTCTACCATGGCATCTAAACGTTTTTCCAGAGAGATAATTGCTGGTATAGAGGCTGCAGCACTCGAATGTCCGTTATGTATGGAACGTTTTAAACACCCGAAACTACTCCCGTGCGTCCATTCATTTTGTCTTGGATGTCTTGAGAAGTGGGTGAAAGAAAGTAGTGGAAGGCTCAGCTGCCCGATCTGTCGTGAAATCTGCAAAGTTCCAAAAAATGGACTTAAAGAACTGCCGAACAACATTTTCATCGTCGGATTGTTAGATTATATAACTACATTAGAACAGAGATCAACACCCACTTGTGGTTGTAAGAAAGAAGCCTCTTACTTCTGTGAAGATTGCGATGAACTGTACTGCAGAGAATGCAAAGATGCTCACAGAAAAATAAAAGTGACAAGAGACCACAACACGTTAACCCTGGATGAATACAAATCCATCGATCCAGTTGAAAAATTTGCATCAAAACCAATAAATTGCCTAAAACATTCAATGGAGTTTCTATTCTTTTGTGATACATGTAAGATACCTGTTTGCGTCGGATGTACGCAGGTTGAACATCCAAGGGGCAACGACCATAAGATCATCGATACAAAAGACGCTTTCAAGAACTTTTCATCACTTGCATCTCAACTTGTTACAAATTCTGATGAAAAACTATTCGGTCTTCGTATTTTCGTTAGCAACATTAAAGAGACTGAGTCTGTTCTGAGTTCAAATTACTCAATATGTAAATCAGATATTACAAGACAGGCGGATGAGCTTCATCAATTGATTGATCGTCGTAAGGAAGACCAACTGCAGAACCTCGAAAGATCTTATAAACAAAAGCTGAAGATAACTGGAACTCAGGTCAGTGAGGTAGAATTAGCCATTGCTAAATTATCCAGTATGCGTGGAATAACGCACAACTTGGTGAGTAGTCCCAACCAGGTTATGGCACTGATGTCGAGTTCTGATGCATGTGAAAGATTGCATGCAGTTCTGAAGGAGGAAGTTAATACAGAACCTCGAGAATCTGGAGCTCTACGGTATCATCCAAACAGAAGATTATCCAAATCACTGGAAGACGAGGCGGTAGGTAAATTACGCGGCCATGAAACAAAGATAAATCTATCATTCAAATTAAAAGAAATATTGAAGACGGAAGAAAGAAGTTTACTGCGATTGTAATAACTCGAAATGAACTGGATGAGATTATATATGACATGGATGTAAAGGTGAATGGTTCATTTGGTAGAACTGATTGTCGACAAAATGATGAGATTCAGATGAATGAGATGAATGTTACCGACGAAAAAATGGAAGGTACGAGTTTTCTGGCAGCTACTTCGCCTTCGATAGGTGTACATTGAGGTGTCATATAATTGATGGACCCAACATTTATAAACGAAAATTTATGTTGGAGGTCTGTATGAATTGTTCGCCCCTGAAAAAAATGTCATGATGTCTGTTCAAATGGCTATGGTTCAATTCCCATTTATTTAAAATACAGTTGTCCACTCCCTTTATAAGGTTAAATTTTTAGGCTGGTTCATGCTTTTGAAATATTCAGTGATGTGGATACTTCTTATTTAACCGATAACTTTATAAAGATTTTTGAACAACACCGTTATAGAACTAGACATTCATATGAAACATTTGTAATTCCAAATATTAAAGGCCAAGCTTCGAAAACTTTTTATTACAATACTATCAAAATTATCTTCCATCAAGTATCAAGTGTATTAACAAATTCAATGAGTTTATACCTGCGATAAAGATTCACCTTGAAAATGTGCATCAACCTTGATTGTTTGTTTTTGTTTACTTTTATTTTTTAAACGTAATTGCTTTTAGGACCCCATTGGAATTAAGCTGTTTTTCAGCTTTATAGGTTATCCTGGTATTTTTTCATTGTTTTTTGTGAATTTTGAGTAATGAATAAACCAAGCCAAAAGCCACCATAAGGTCAAAGTGCATTTCTGGTAGGGTTGCAATTGGGCAAATATGTATGAAGCCCAAGGTTTTTTTTTATCTTCTGAACAAATTCACAGCGTTAAATAAGAAATAAAATACAAACATTAATTAAAATACCCAAACTTTGAGTCTCTTCATCACAAAATATCTCCTCTCACCAGTTCCAAAACCTTTCCATTTGACATACAATATTCTCCAGCTAATCATCTTGATAATTTTCTGTAGAGCTACATTTAAGGAAAAGTATAACAGTATTATTTTGCCTCAACTATGGCTACGTTTCTAATCCATATGTAAACACAAAAAAGACCCAAAACAGTGGTATGCTGATAGGCGTGGGACCTCACATTAAAACACGTACAAAACTCATCCTCTCTCTCTAGGTTTCACTAGAATTATCTTTATTTGCGTTTAAGTCTGCGAGTGCCATTTCCAGCCATTAGGTGCCATAATCATAAACTTTCTTTTCTTCAACCCCAACCATGGTAGGTTCGGCTGAGGTGGGTGGACCTTGGCCAATATTTCTGTGAAAGTCCCTCCCTGGGCCCCCCTCTGTTTTCCTGAATCCGCCACGGCCCCACACAGTATGATAAAATCCCTATCTGGCCCGGAAGAGTGTGGATTCGCTTAAAAACAACAACAAAGTGATTTATTGCTTTCCCTCCCCTGTTCCCAATCAGATCAGTACCGAGCTTATTTTATGAATTCTCGATTTTTTATATTTTTGACGTCTACCCATCTTATCCACGACGTAAAGCGCTTGTCATTATTTGTTCATATTCGCAATTTACATTAATTTCATTTATTTATAATATAACATTTACGTTTGTGGTAAAAATTTAGTATATATACCTAATAATATTTTTTTTTTTTTTCATTGTGCGCTAGACCTACATTTATTTCTTTTATGTTTAAATTTATTAATGTTTTCTTTACCTTGTTCTATAATTTTACATAGTCTATTGACATATGCAGTGAAAATATGAAACACCACGTGGATGGATGCGGCACGTTTCACATGGCTATGTGTATGTCCAATTTGTAGGGATCTATTTTACTCCGACCTCGATTTATTTACGATTCTTAACATTTTAATTATATTAATGAACGTTAACCCGTAGTATAATTAATGACATTTCCACGGTGTTTTTAATTAGAATGATTTAATTTTGTATACATCAGTTTCCTGTCTCTTATACACATCTAGATGTGTATAAGAGACAGGATTACATACTGTGGGAAGGTGAAATTGCCCAAGGACAAGTAACCTTAACTTCGAGCAATATAGCACTTCAGGAATACTTGATGAAACAGAAAGAAAGAGGTATGCTGTTAGTACTGTTAAATAAGAATAACGCGAACGATATTGATAACGCGTTCGCCCAGCAAATAGATTGCATGACTGTAAAACAAAATGACTTTGTAGACATATTGGCAAACTGGGAATGTAAAGCTACAAACATTAGGAGGGTAGCTAAATTGTTGAATGTTGGATTGGAATCATTCGTCTTAATTGATGACAACGCTCTGGAATGCGAAGAGATGTTAACCCTCTGGATACCGTATTCTTTTGTAGTGCAAACCCTTGAATACCGGATTGTTTTGCAGTGTAACAAGGTTTTTTGCTATTTTTGAGTATACGTCGTTCTGGTGGATTTTTGGGAACTTTCTGTAAATTATACAGAAAAATGTTTCTAAAAACAAAGAAAGCTTATAGAATCATATCGGCTTAATCATGACAGAGATGATGAAGGTACGTTACATTACACAATAAAACAACTCGCGACTAAATAGTCGAAGCCTAATATCAAAACCTAGATCGACCTATCCCCAATTTTGGAGAATGACTTTAATCACAATATTATTTTTGACAGAAGTATGAACTTACTAAATTCAATTTTAACTTAAGCCATTTCCCCAAATAAAATGTATATACAGTGCATCCTCCAATTAGAGGCACTATTTCGGATTCGAAATCACTTTAAAAGATCCAAATAACAAACTTCAATCTTTTAACACAAAGCAAACCCTCATATTGGAGACCAAACCCCGAAATAACCATAAATGTTCAGGTCCCAAAGTTGGTCTTGAATGAGAGGGCAAACTGTATTATGTTAGACGAAGGCCATTAGTCACATCAATAATATAGTAGAACTTAAACAAACAACTGTTGGTAAACATAAGAAATTTAATGAGATAAAATACATTTGTGCCCTCAACGTTGGCCAAATACTGAACATAATGATTATATCAGCTCTTGAACTTTGTTCTTTTTGAAAAAAAAAGGAGAAAGACGCCCCTAGATAGCCTTAAATCACCACTGAAGGTAAGTGTAGTATTTTAGGTCGTAACGATGCGTTTATTTTTCATTAAAATAATTGAACTTTCTTAATATCTATATTAAATACTTAACACTTCTAATGGATGCTTTTAGACGTACGTAAAAAAAGCTTTGATATTCTCTGCATTGATCAAAACACTGGCTTCAACATTGTTTCCTCCAAAATGTGTACCCACCTGTGTACCGACATTGTGCAATCAAATTGTATTGTCGAGAGGGCACATTATTATGTTCGACAGCTAAACCAGTGAAGAGTATGAAAGCAATGCAAAACCCTTTACTTTTATGTTTTCCTTGTCTAGGTTCATCAATATTTCTCTACCATGGCATCTAAAAGTTTTTCAAGAGAGATGATTGCTGGTATAGAGGCTGCAGCACTCGAATGTCCGTTATGTATGGAACGTTTTACACACCCGAAACTACTCCCGTGCGTCCATTCATTTTGTCTTGGATGTCTTGAGAAGTGGGTGAAAGAAAGTAGTGGAAGGCTCAGCTGCCCGACCTGTCGTGAAATCTGCAAAGTTCCAAAAAATGGACTTAAAGAACTGCCGAACAACATTTTTATCGTCGGATTGTTAGATTATATAACTACATTAGAACAGAGATCAGCACCCACTTGTGGTTGTAAGAAAGAAGCCTCTTACTTCTGTGAAGATTGCGATGAACTGTACTGCAGAGAATGCAAAGATGCTCACAGAAAAATAAAAGTGACAAGAGACCACAGCATGTTAACCCTGGATGAATACAAATCCATCGATCCAGTTGAAAAATTTGCATCAAAACCAATAAATTGCCTAAAACATTCAATGGAGTATCTATTCTTTTGTGATACATGTAAGACACCTGTTTGCGTCGGATGTACGCAGGTTGAACATCCAAGGGGAAACGACCATAAGATCATCGATACAAAAGACGCTTTCAAGAACTTTTCATCACATGCTTCTCAACTTGTTATAAATTCTGATGAAAAACTATTCGGTCTTCGTATTTTCGTTAGCAACATTAAAGAGACTGAGTCTGTTCTGAGTTCAAATTATTCAAAATGTAAATCAGATATTACAAGACAGGCGGATGAGCTTCATCAATTGATTGATCGTCGTAAGGAAGACCAATTGCAGAACCTCGAAAGATCTTATAAACAAAAGCTGAAGATTACTGGAACTCAGGTCAGTGAGGTAGAATTAGCCATTGCTAAATTATCCAGTATGCGTGGAATAACGCACAACTTGGTGAGTAGTCCCAACCAGGTTATGGCACTGATGTCGAGTTCTGATGCATGTGAAAGACTGCATGCAGTTCTGAAGGAGGAAGTTAATACAGAACCTCGAGAATCAGGAGCTCTACGGTATCATCCAAACAGAAGATTATCCAAATCACTGGAAGACGAGGCGGTAGGTAAATTACGCGGCCATGAAACATATGTTTCCTCTGATAAATCTACCATTCAAATTAAAAGAAATATTGAAGACGGAAGAAAGAAGTTTACTGCGATTGTAATAACTCGAAATGAACTGGATGAGATTATATATGACATGGATGTAATGGTGAATGGTTCATTTGGTAGAACTGATAGTCGACAAAATGATGAGATTCAGATGAATGAGATGAATGTTACCGACGAAAAAAATGGAAGGTACGAGTTTTCTGGCAGCTACTTCGCCTTCGATAGGTGTACATTGAGGTGTCATATAATTGATGGACCCAACATTTATAAACGAAAATTTATGTTTGGAGGTCTGTATGAATTGTTCACCCCTGAAACAAAATCGTTTAATTTCACTACTTAGAATTCTGCCGGTGTTTTTTAATATTTGTATTAAGGCAGTTTTAGATTTTTAACCATCATTGTAAATTTGCAACCATTGTAAATGATGCATTAGCGATACTATTTTACTTAAACTATTAGTAAAGCGTAAATAATCAGTATTATTACGGAGTATATGTGCATGGTACACTAGTATGATTTCACGATAAACTGAACTTTAAAAAATTAACAGCCCTGTGTGCAAAAAGACTTGTATTTCAATAATTACAGAGTATTATCTCAAGTCCAGCCTATTCCAATAAGGCTTAGTTCACACTATATATAGAAAAAATTAGCGCGTTAAAAAACGCATAGCAACAGTCACTACAGCTGATTTCAGTGTAAACCACCTAAAGTTTTCCGGTCCCTGTTCTGATTGCACTTTGGAAATTCTGTTGCCTTGATCATAAAAAAAAATGATTACAGACCTCTCACTACGACAATTTTAAACATATTTCCCGCCAATTTATAATATTTAATTGGAACCTAATTACGTTATTAATACACAAACTCTTCACAATTCAATACCACCTTCGGACCTGACAATTTGGGATGGTCTTGGGGGTGTGGCCTCCGATTAGATTGTTAGGTTTGTGTTAAAAGATATTGTTAGCTGGTAGGCCTACTTGAAAAAATGGAAATTTGGAGGGCAAACTTATGTTTTTGTTTTTTTTTATCATTAACTGAAGTTGCTTTGCATCCAAATATAATTGTTTGTTATCGATCTTCACATTATTTTATGTCCTATATGAATTAAATACGATGCGATCATGTTACATTCATGTTACCTTGAGTGAGTTGTATTTTCTGCTGAGGTGATTGTTACTTTAATAAATTAAAATTTAATCAATAAGTCATACTCATTCATTCACTTTGCATTTAATGATTGTGGGAATATCCGCCAAATTGTAGAAAGGAGCACATGTCATTTTTATGTTCAGTGGTACTCGGCGCACCTCAATAAGCCAACTCTGTGTCACGACTGCATCGAATGTCCTTTTTAAAGATTTTACAAACTTGACCATGGAACGTTATCTTCATGTTATGTTCTTTGGTATGATGCGAAATCACACGCACACCGTACGTATGTCAGCATTTACATTTGTTGTCCATTTATCACAAAAAGATAGTTTGTCTTTTTAAATAGGCCTACCCAATATAATAATTATTTACTGAACTGATTAGTCACAGCCATGTTTTACATTAAAAAAAAAAATCATTTTTTAAACATTTCCTTCCATTGGATTTTGTTTCTAGCTATTTCTTTAAGTTTATAAAAATCAACAATATAATCATTCTTTATATAACTTTATAATAAAATTGTAATTGTAAGACAAAATGTCAATAACCCCAGTAGCAGAAGCTTATTGCATTTTATGGACCAAGGTATCATAATAATAATGGTAATGGTAACATTGCAGAATGTAATGACTGAATAGATAACATAGTTATATCTGAAGTTTATTAATGCATGTTGTTCATACATAGACTGAAGTCCAACTTGGCAGACAGCGTTGTACACGCAACCGCGACGCGATTTGTCGTAAAATATTAAACATGCTTATTATTCTCACGACGACTTAAAGAATGTCCCCGACGATAAACTTCGTCAGGTTGCTGCTGCGTCGTACGACACTGTGTGAGTTGGCATAAGTTTGTCTGTTTACATTATAGCGCCAGACATCTCGGCAAACATCCAGTATTGATCGGTGAATATTGGGGGATTATCATAATTTGTTTACAATTCTTTCAGCGGAAGATTATCGTTGCCCTATTCTTCTCTAATGTACTTTGGATATTAAGTTGCGTATCCTTGGTGTAGGCCCTTAGCCGTCCCTGTCGGCTAAGCATTGATGTTGATTGGCGAGTACTGACGGGACACACCTTGCCCAGCGCTTTTCTCTAGTACAATAGCCTAGACACTGGATACCGTAAAACCTCGAACTAAAGCCCAATGGGCCTATCTCGAGAAGAAGCCCATCTCGCATTGGAGCCCCCACCCCTATTTTAGTTGGCAAAAGTAGCCTCGAAAAGTAGCTCATCTCGAAACGAAGCCCATGGGCTTATTTTCAAGATAGCATGGGCTTTTTTCGAGATAGTAGGCCTACAGTACGGTACATACACTGTACATGCAACATAATAAATTAAAAATAAGCTTGGTTTATACAGAAGTTTAGGTGATTTAATACCAATTAATAAACTCCATGAAACAGATTGATGATACAGTGGCCTATGTACATATAGTAATTCCCAAAATTTGCCAGGACTTCAATTCGAGCTTTTACGGTATTAAGCGGTAAATACCGGCAGGTGATACAATTGCTTTAAGCTTCTCGGCAGATCTGATGTTTATTGGATGGTTATCATTAGCTTGCGCCTCCCGGAGAATATCGGATAATAGTCATTGGTGAACATGAATGCTGGCGGATAACCTATCTTTATAGGTCTATTTAGCGACCATTAAATAATGATCCATGGTGTTTTGTTTAACAAATTTGGTCGATCGAAAAATCAATTAGGATATTATTCTTCAGACCTGAAAATAGCCAACAGTGAAATACTTGTGTCGTTTTCTATCAAGTTATCCATGTTCAAGAAATTTGGTTCGATGGGGGCGTCATCATAGTCATAATTATAATCGTCATCTAAGTCATCTGTTACATCCATCCAAAATCCATGGACTACTTCTCCACTAGTATCTAACGCTACTGTGAAGTCTACAGCTTCGTGAAGCCAGGTGACATCTTCGTTATCTCGCTGATTCATCAGAAAGGGGTCTTGGTCACCATTCCCGTGATATTGGAACGTCTGGGATGCGTTTTCTAACTCGTCAACTACGTCAGTTTCGTAATCATTTCCATAAGTTAATGTTTCGAAATTGTTGGAATTACGATATTTCCATCGTTCGTCGTTTCGTGACAAGTCAACATTAACAGATCCTGTTGCCGGAAGATCTCCAAAGATTGTTCCACTTCTGGAATTCATTATCCAAAAAAATGCACAAATAGTGCCACTCTACACTTTTAGTTAAAAATCTTTGCTATACTACGGTTAAGTTAGTTTAGCATACTAGCCTACTCTATGCTATCGGACAAGAATTTCCCCATAATTCTTTGAAAAATACAGACTACCAAAATGTACTTTATAGAATTTCAGAAGACCAGTTCGAACTAAGCTCGCGTACTTTCTCATTTCGTCGCGCGCGATACAAGCGCAATAAATTTGGGTTCCATGGTTCCTAACTCCTCTTGTATTCAAATTTCAAACTGAACTGAAATTCATCATCATTATCATCGTCATCATCATCATCATCATCGTCATCATTATTATTATTATAAGAAGCGTTTTAGTCATTAGTAGGCTCACTCAAATCACAAACTGGTGTTTCTTTTTGTTTATTCCTAAACTTATATGCTTATATTAAAATGTCATTTCAAATCAGTCAAAAGAATAATACATTTAAATATAAATAAAATATAAAACATTATTTTTAGGCAGATTCATTACAAATAGATGTAGCTACCCCAACGGCTCTAACACATCACTGCGAAAATTAAAACAGAATTCAGCACTGTAACAGATGGAAAGTACAACATTCCTACGTCTGTACATATATCATGGTGAAGAAAACAAACAGAACACTCGAAAACCATAGTGACACAAAATAATATTTAATTTATTGACGTACAAATATTTCTGATTTGTGATCGCGTCGGCTGACGATCGTCGGCCACAGTGAGTGCCCGGCAGAAAACCAGTCATTATACTCAGTGCTGTTCCAGCTGCAAATGTTCATTACAAAATTCTTATAAATGTCCTCACTTAACTATATAAGTTTGTTCATAAATTATTATGATTCATGTAGGTCTAAACACAAGCTATAGGAATAGGCCTATACTATACTATTTATTATTTAAAAAAAATAACAGTAAAACAATTATTGCAGTACTATTATAGTACATAATGTGTGTATGTCTACCTGATTAAAATTACCTGATTGGGAAGTCAACCGAAGAAATTAGGAAGCGTATGTATGCCCGGTTTACAAAACTAAAATCCATTATTCGCTTACAAAATATTTTCGTAATTAGCACGTGAGAGCACACTCAATCCTCTTAATAAAGATAGATGAACTATTCCGATTATTTATAAAAACTTTGAAATACATTTATAGATTAGGGTGCTTTTAGGGATTATTATAATCTTTAATCCCAAGCACGCTTTAATGCAATTATAGATTTTGGCCTAACAATTGTGAATTAATATCAATGTATTTTTTATACCTCATGATATTTTCAATTCAATCGCAAGGTTCTACTTTAACCACTGCATAGTGATTTTACAACGAAACAGAACAGTTGCACAGTACATACCTTTAATATTATTTGCTTTGTGAATAAAACAGCACCGTTTATTTGTAGGGCGCCCTAAAAATTTTTTTACCCATTTGTTACAAGTCTGTACTCCATTAAAATCAGGACGATATGGGTAGTCAGTCTCTTTCATTATCTTTACTTATTTAACCCATCAATTGCTTCCGGTAAAATACGTTAGGCCTACATACCGTCTAACAAATAACGTTAGAACGCGTGTATATTGTCGTGTTCATGATGCTATCACGTAATTCAGAAACACGATAGCAATTGTCAATTCAACGTCAGCCTAGCAAAGTAGTGGTGTTGGACATCAACGACTAAACAGTTGTGATGTAGCTATCGACGATGTATTCATAGTGCTTTTCTGAAATGGTTGCAACTCTTCTGTCTATTAGGTACCTTTCTGGTGCAAACATCTTTTGATGTAGAGGAGCGGCCTGGAAAAATATAGCGCCGACGATATACATACCGCAACTCACTAACAAACCTATATCGTACGATCCAGTATAATCGTAACTTAAACCTGAACAGATAGAGAACAAGAAAAAATTTGTATTTTTATTAAAAAAAAAAGAAGAAGAGATTTCGCCACCCGTTGTAAAGCACAAGAATGTGTTGGAAATATGTACGTCATTATTAAATTTAGAACAAGATCAGGAATTCGCACCTGTCTTTAACACACTTTACCTACGTTTACGATATTTTTGGGACCTTTAGCAACTAACTTGCTAAGCAGGGCTTAGCAAGTTACATTGTTAATGATCCTAGTCTCTATATGGGCTATGGACTCAAAACTTACCCCCTACAAGTGCCCCAGCAAGTGAACCAATACCAAATCCTAAACAGGTAAGAATCGTAGCCTCTGTATTATGACCAATCCCAAGCAGTTCAAGGGTCGCTGTCCACGGCATAGCATGAAAAATACTCTTCAGAACACCAATACCTAAATAAACAGAATTTGAAGGAAAAACATAAAATTTAATAACTTCGAATTCATTTCATTAGGTAAAGCATTATGTATTATTTCAATCGTTAATTAACAGGGACATAATAATAGGCCTATACAATACTGTTCCGATTTCTTTAATACAGTAGATCCAAGGTAATTCAACAAAAGGACGCACATCTCGGAACATCAAAGGTTATAACTCTGGCATCGACATTCTAGGCG